ATGCTCCCTCTTGGTGACATCATCCACAGATGTGGGGTCAACTTCCACATGTATGCGGATGATACCCAACTCTATCTCTCTGCCTCCACCCTCGATTCCAGGACAGCTGACGACCTGACAGACTGTCTGTCTGAAATCAAGTCCTGGATGAGAGACAACTTTCTAGTTGAACGTCAGCAAAATCGAGTCTCTCCTGATTGGCACACGCCAGTCAGGAACCTGGGAGTCTTGTTCGACCTTCAAGTGTCCTTTCTCCCTCATATATCTGTGCCATGATCTGCTCTGCCTTCCCCCACCTCTGCAACATTGCTGGACTCAACCACTCATTCACCCTTCAGGCTGCCGAAACCCTCATACACACATATGGCACCTCAAGGCTCGACTACGGAAACTCCCTCCTCGTTGGCCTGGCCAACTCTTCCCTGCACAAGCTGCAGATCATCCAGAACTCTGCAGCTCGTGTCCTCTCCTGCACCAAGCTCCGTGACCCCATCAACCCCACCCTCACCCAGCTCCACTGGCTCCCCATCCCTCAGAGGATAGAATTCAAATCCTCATTCTCACTGTCGAGGCCCCCCATGGACTTGGCCCCTCCTACATCTATGACCCTCTGACTCCCTATCAACCTGTCCGCTCCTGCCGTTCAGCAGGGTCTGGCCTGCTCCATGTCTCCACCCGACCTGCCCAACCATCAGCGGTCGGGCTTTCAGCCTCTCTGCCCCCACTCTTTAGAACTCCATCCCGCAAACCCTTCACCTCGTCCTCTCCCTTGCCTCCTTCAAGGCAAAAAACTCCCGAAGACTCAAGACCCTTATTTTTGACTGTGCTTTCAGCCGTCCTTCTCCCTCTCTGCCCTCCCTCATCCCAACCCTGGTCCACATGCTCGTGTCCTGATCTTTGATTGTTCACCACCTTTAGGATGTCCTCCTGACGTGAAAGGTGCTTTACAAATGTAATTTTGTTGTTGAAGAAGACAAGGGAGGGGGTGAAACAAAGGGAGGGGGTGAAACTATGGGATGGAGTTCCAGAGGGTGGGGACAGAGAGACTGAAGGCCCTCCCGCCAATGGTAGGGCGGGCGAGGCGGGGCGGGGAAGCAGGAGGGAGCAGACAGGTAAATTGGTAAAATAATTATTAACACTTGAAAATAGGGCCCACAATGATTAATATCAAACATGACTTCCCCATCAGTCTCAGATCCAGAACCCTACAAAACAGTAAGCCCGATTATGTGATTATCAATTGTTCTTTGAAAAAAATCAGACAAAGCAAGAAAATGTTCATTTTAATCAGAATTCTTGGCAGAAGGAGCTGCTTTTAAAAGGGTTTCTGAGGGCGCGGCTCCCTCTTAAAAATCCCGGATGCTCAGAATATTTAAATAGGACACCATCCACTTTCTCTATTTTCTGTTTTACAAACCAGTTAGTATTTAACACTCAGTCAGAAACCAAACAAAGGTTTGTGTATGTTGTACTATTGCAACCCATTTTTATCTCTCAAGGTATGAAGTTATGCTTTAGATTTATTTTGGCCATTACGCAACTACAATTTAATAAATTCAGGAAAAGCAGTTTGAGCACTACCCGATCGTATCACGGTTCAGATTAATTATTTTCCAGGACTTCTGTTAATCAATTTCCGCTTCATAACCAGTAGCAAGGAGGGTCAATGTCAGGTTAATCCATTTTAGCATGAGCAGACGAAAGGTTAATTTGTAAATAATCCAACTGCAATTACAATCGTCATTTCATCAATGTAGAAATGTTGTTTTGAATTCACAGTTCGGATGTTTGTTCCAAATTTTTTTCTTGCAGTGAGCTAATTCATATCAATGACAAGTTTGTATTTATACAGTAGAACACCTTTCACACAGGACAATGTGCCAAAGCTTTTTGCAAAAGTGGAGTGGGGGTACAAGTTAATAGGGAGGGAGGAGGGAGAGGTAATTTAACCCACAGTTATCAAGATAGGTTTTTGAAAACCATGGTCAATGAGACAGGGTTTGAAAACAGAGGAGGGAGCCATTTCGGAAGAGAAGGCTAGAAAGTGGAGAAGTGTCTGAATGGGTGGGAAAATGAAGCAAAGGATGTGCAGGGAAATAGGGTAGCACAGGGGTAGGTTGGGCCTAGGCGGTGCAGCCATTTGAAGACGAGGATGACGATCGTAAAGTTTCACATAAGACAGACAGCATGTTTTTAAAGTGAATGTTTTTCACTTACAGGGAGATGCACTGCACTGCAGGATAGAAACAGTCAGCAGCCTTTTCTGGCTGGTTAATAGTGTCACACTGCTTACTGTTAGGGTCACCACCAAACCAGGCTTTGACCAAATCAACAGGTGCTGCAGCCTTCCTTTTAAAGGCTTTGCTGCAAAGAAGCTGCCAGGGATGATGTCATATGTGGCACAATCTGCAATTTTTATATCTGCTGCAGTGAGCAGCAACATACCAGCCCCAACACCCTGGCATAGCAGCAGGTTGTGAGGAGCTTCATTATCTCCCAAACAACATGATACCAGGATAGTGCCAGGACTAAAGACTCTCTGATTCCACACCCACAGAAGGAAGCAATGTAAAAAGGTCTTTTAATAAAAGACTTTTACAATACATTATACATTTTTATAGTGCCTTTCACTTTGGGTGGATGGTTCAAAGTACTGATGGTGAGGTGGGGTGGCAGCTGAGGGGGGGCAGCAAAGGGAAAGATAATTGAAAGCTCAGTCAAAGAGAATATATATCTGGTGTTCAGGTAGATAGATATACAGTAAACCTCGGGCTTACGTTAGTCCTGCCACCCCGGGTACCCAGAATGCTGGAACAGGCCCAAATAGATAATTATAATAATAATCCTTGCATTTGATATAGCGCTTTTCACGTCTTCTAGACGTCCCAAAGCGCTTCACAGAATATACTGTAAAGTGAATTGACTGTATATTTGTGAGCGAACGCGGCAGCCAATTACGCACAGCAATGTCCCACAAACAGCCGTGGATTGAAAACGACCAATTTATTATTGTTTTTGGTTTTGGAGGGATTATTATTAGGCTCTGTGTGGAGTAAGGAAACTTGCCCAAGGTTTCGCCCTGTGCCTGGAATTGAACCCAGGTGTCTCGCTTGCAAAGCGAGTGCTCTAACCACTGAACTGCAGGACTCCACTCCAATTATAAATAGATTATAAAAATGTCCATGGTTTGTATGCGTGTAGACTCCTGTTGCTAGCGCACGATGAAGTGGATTTCAAGCCCTGGAGATATGAACCACAACTCCAGGTATAAGTACAGAGTTTTGTCATCTAGAGAAAAAACACTATATAATTATGAATTGCATGGTAAAAGTTTTTTCTTTAAAAATAACCTTTTTCTATTGCTTCTTTCTCTGGGTGTGGAATTATGGGTCTTTAGCCCTGGCACTATCTTGGTATCATGTAGCCTCACTGTGCTTGCTGGTGTCTTGTTCGACCTTCAACTGTCCTTTCTTCCCCACATCCATTCCATGACCCGCTTTGCCTTCCCCCACCTCCGCAATATCGCCCGGCTCTGCCACTGTCTCACACCACAGGCCACCGAGACCCTCATACACACATTCATAACATCCAGACTCGACTACGCAAACTCCCTGCTTGTCGGCCTCCCCAACACCTCCCTCCGTAGGTTGCAGATCATCGAGAACTCTGAGCCCATGTCCTCTCCCGCACTAGGCTCCATGGCCCTATCACCCCCATCCTCGCCCGACTCCACTGGTTTTCCATCACAGAGGATACAGTTCAAGATCCTGGTCCTCACTTTCAAAGCCCTCTATGGTCTTGCCCCCACCTACCTCTGTGACCTCCTATCCCCCTACCAACCTGACTGCTCCCTCCGCTCAGCGGGCTCCTGCCTGCTTCATATCCCCCACCTCGCCTGCCCCACCATTGGTGGCCGGGCCTTCAGCCACTCTTCACCTCACCTTCTGGAACTGCAAGCTGCAGTCGCTCTGCCTGGCTGCCTCGCTTGCCTGCTTCAAGACCCATCTCAAGACCCTCCTTCAGCCATGCCTTCGGTCACCCTCCCTCTCCGCTAGCCCTCCACCATCCCCGACCCCCAGCTTGGATCCGAAACACTGTGATTGTCCAACGCCTTGGGATGTCCTCCTGACGAGAAAGGCGCTATACAAATCTAGTTTTGTTGTTGTCTTCACAGTGGCCAGGCAAGGAGACGAACTTTGACTCAGTTTGAATCCCACAAACAGAAGATTCCATATTTGGTATCTTCTGATTCAAACCATTTTGGCACTGAAAAAAGCCTTCAGTGAAAAATGGCAGTACAAGCATTGCAATTACACTTGGCCAGAAATTCCAACTTGCTAGACTGAATTTCTTCCCCCCCATTAGTCCAGCTCGCCAGGGTTTTAGTTTTTAAAATTATTTTATTCCCATAGTCTATTCCAAATGCAGTATCAAACCCAAAGGGGGAAGAGGTGAAAGATGGGATGACTTTAAATGAAAATTGTAGTCCATAAAACAGATATTGGTTGTTAAACAGAAGTCTATTAAACTGAAATCTGAGGTCTGATTCCTGATGCAGTCAGGTCTTAAGTACTGCAGGCCAGCACAGCCTATCTCATCAGTAGGACTTGGGCAGATACTTAAAGCAGGAATTCTTCCCACTCAGGTCCAGTCAATTCTGCAAGCCAAAGCCCTTTAGGGCAAGACAAGCAAAGGTTGCCAGACAATGGAAAGCTATGCAGTTTTAGCTGGTTAAACATCATTCCGATTTTAAGCACTCAAACACAGCCATGAAGGGCACTATAAATGTTGTTGTTGTTGTGTAATGCATCAATGTAACTTTTTAAATGCTCTCAACTTTTTAACCCTTTACTCAGCAACTAGACGTTTGCTCTATAATTAATATCTACCAGTAAGTCAGTTTGGGATTATTATTCACCACTTCAAAATTATGTTTTCAAATGTGAATATTGAAAAATGTGAGTGATTACACTTTTAAAGAATAGTGAATGGGGCATTTATTTACACTAACTTCAGTCAGAAGCAATACATTTTATTTTGTCCCAAGGTATGCATCAGTAAACAATAGTTACAACCACTTCAAGTTATTCCAATATAGAATAGATAATAGTTTGTAACCATATCCATGTACAAATGTGTGAAATAGCATATGCTGAAAATTTGAATTCTCTCTCTACTTGCATTAGAATAAATGGCAATGTTGTTTAAGACAGGTGGTTATAAGATTGCTTTTGCTGCCGATACAGTACATGTATAAATCACCCACCTCCACTGACATCCAGAAAAGTAAACTGAAGCAATCTCTCTGAATACCGACATTTTCACCAAAGTCTAAAGGTAAATTGATGGACATGTACTTAATTGTTCTTTTATTGTACTAAACCCATTTAGTTTTAAGTAACCAATCCTCATCTTAACACAACAATGACTTTTTTTTAATAATAGTCATGTAAAGAATAGACCAAAATCTCAGAAAGTTTTATAGAAGCTTAAAATCTACCATAACTTGCCTGTGAAAATGTGTACATTTTTATGCATGTGGCAATGAATGCTACAGGGAGAAATTCACTTCAATATATACTGTCGAGCTTTATTTTACATGCGCACTGTGTTTTCTTCTAGAGCACAGATAAATGAAATACACAGAACTTACATACCATTAGCTTCCTTATGTAATTAAAAATCTACTGCAGTTTAACAGACCGCACCCCCTGTTAAAATTGTTATCTGACAAATTTCCAGTAAATAAAGCTAGCATATTCATCTGTCTTGCCATACAATATCGTTTCCCTTAATATAAAGTGGCTTCTTGTGGCTCATGAACCCCATGGGATTTGAGATACTTATGTCAGTTTTTAAAAAGATGCACTGATTTAAAAAACAGTACAGCACACTCACAGTTTAACTCGTGACAGCATTTGTGAGGTGTGAAAGTTAAAATAAGATTTCAATACACTAAAGTGTACTGTGGAGCGTGAACAAATATCACATGGCTTGCTCTGCAAACTAACCAGATGTTTCCTAGTGATCATCAAACCGAGTATATTTGACTGACCTACAAGGATCAGGCATCAGTTAACTTTTTCGTGAGAATGACTTATTTTGTCGTAAAACCAAAAAGCCATACAGTGGACAGCAATAAAATAGCATGAAAAGATACTTTTCATTTCAAGTTCATTGGGTTAGTGTTGAGTAAATTAAGCTAATTTTAGAGAAAAAACGATTATTTATATTTGGTTTTTAATCCTCATTAGACTTCTGACTTCATAAGGGCACCTGAATGTACATTTGCTCTGGCTCAATACAAAGCCCTTTCCCCCCTTTTCTTCTAGCCTGAGATTGTCCTATGTCCTGACCTCGCTGAAAAGTGACTGTATGATGCAATCAATTATACCAATAATGCTCAGACCAGAAACCACAGTGAAATAAATGTCAATTGCTATGCTACCATGCTGCTTTTAACAAAACTGAGTGCAGAAATGCCCCAGAATCCTTACAAGTCATTTAAATACAATTTTGGTGGAAAATTCAACAAAAATATCAATGAATGGCAGTGATGATTATACCACCTTAACCTTCATTTGCTTTGATGAAAAACAATTTAGTTGCCTTAATTGATATGCTATCGTTCCACAAATACAACACATAATTCACAATTTGTGATGAATTTTGATGTATGATGAAAAGACAAGGGCCCCATATACAAGCATGAAACAGGTCAATTATACAACAACTTTCCATCACATTTTATTTCACTGCTAGTTCCCCCAGGAGCACTTATATCAATGAGTGTGACTGCAGGGAATTTCATGCGATGAACTTTGGGACAAACTATTCGAGTTACTAAATAGTCATGCATAATGATTCATCTCTGCCCCATAATAAAATATAAATGTGCATTACCCTATTGTATAAAAAGGAAAGCTTACGTGTTAAATTTGAAGAAATGCATAATTTTTTGCAATTTGAGCTGCTCTGTATTGATTTCTGGCATACCACTGGTAGCCTTATATAGAAACTTCAAAAGGTGGCTAGTAAGGGTACAAACAGTACAGTAAAACTTTCAATAAATGTACAAATGTCATACAGAAAAGCAGTATGCAAAACAATTTACCATGTATGAATGTACCTACAGAAAGTTGATCACCACATTAAAGCAGATTAATGATGATTCACTTCAGAAGGGAGGCAGTTTGTTTTTAAACCTGGTGATATGATTATCTTTACAACAACCTGTACTAATATGGGAAGAAAAAAGGAACAAAAAAGGTTTTTTTTTCTTTTAAGAAAACTTTGGGAAGGTTGTTCACTAAAATGATGAATGGATACATAGGAAGTATTCTGGAATCCTTTAAATACATTTATATCTCAATTCATGCAGAAAAAAAACTTTCAGAAAGGAGTAACTTGATTTGGCTCTGGGTTTCCTATAAAATATTAATTTGCCCACACATGAACACTTTTTTTCCTGTTCCCTCCTCCTGCTTGGCTCAAGATAATGAAATTTGTTCACAAGTGATCGATAAAGTTATGCAAGCTTTTGCAAGCAATGTTCTTGCCAGCTCAATGCAACTTATCAACATGCCAAAGCAGTCATCCATTCATCTCCAACAGACAACCTCTACAACTCTTGATTAGAGAAGACCAAATAAACGGGAAAGGTTCATTCCTAGTTGCCCTTCAAAACTTATGTAAATAAGTTCATGCAGTTTCAAATTACTTAAAATACCAGTTAATTAGTCATATATTAGCAGATTAAAAAGAATAAAACCTTCATATGTATAAGTTTCCTGGCATTCTGACACAAATCTGTGTCCTGCATCATTCGGTCAGTATAGTTGTTTCAACATTAAAATTCATGCCTTTGGTGGCACAGTCAATTAGTCCCGTTCCATTGACACTTCAACAACAGCTATAAAATGAGTCCATGGGCAGATGCTGATATTGAATGTACACTAAAAATTAAAATCTGCACCTACCCGTATCAACCAATGGTTCATATAGGACTAAAGATTCTGTTTTACATGAACTACGGGGATACTACGAAGCTTACAAATTGGAGATTTGTTTAACAATATACTTCAAGATCCATTTCAAATGCAGCTTGTATACTTCATTGATGTCTTTCACATAGGTTGAAATGCAATTCCAAGGACTGTCCCCATTGCAGCCCTTCAGATGAAAGTGTCAGATTCACAACAGTCAAATAAACTGACTACAATCCAATTCATTGTTTCTTGGCAAAAGCAGATTTGGCAAAGGTGAGTCAGATGTTGAGTCACTGACCTGAAAAACATAAGTAGTGTTAGAACATCTTTTTAAAAATCCTCTTTAGCCCCTTCTTCTTCCAACCCTTTCAATGTTTAAAGATGCATGCGTGCAAACCGACCTTAAGATCCCCAGCAGAACCCAGCAATTTTCCCAAAGGTTAGACAGATGGCTTACTATTCATGTTTTTGCCTAAGATACTTAAGGGATCCTCAGATACGTACTTATTTGAAACTCCCATTCTCCCAAATTACTTAAATCATGGCTTATCAGGAATGTACACAAATGATAAGAACAAGCCAGTGGACACACCCTGAAGCACCACAAAAACCTGTTCTATATGATTTATGCCATTGGAACCTAAATATCATCTTAGTAAAATTAAATGAAACTGCAGAATAAAAGCTAGAAATAGAATTGTAGAAAACAAAAAATGCAATATTTTACCATTGAAGGTACATAAAACTTAGATATAAATAGTTTGAGAATGCTGCTAATATACAGTTCAAGCTGCTGTGCTCTTTCTGCTAACAACAAGACTGCAATCTTTGACAACAGATACTACCATGGAGGTGATAAACTGCTGAAGCTGCATTGTTCACAAGGTCGGTTCGGATGAAGAAGGCCCTTTGGTGCATTTGATCTCACTCTTCAAGAATACCCATCATACAGTCTTACAATTGATCATAGTACCTAGTGCATCTGAAAATGAGCAGGACTGAACAATTCTTTCACCATAATCTACTTCTGGCACCACATTGCTTTTGTGATCAGCCAGATGGATTGTAATATCTTTTCTACTAAAGTACAATCCCATGTTATAATCAGATTGGAAACAGCAATTCATCTTCCTTCAGGACTTCTGAAAGCTTGTAGAGATGCAACTTTGAAAGAGTCTTTGCAGTTCTTCAGATACGCATCAGCTTTTAAAACAAATCACCATAAGTAACAGCTAGATTTACAAGCATTAGCATCAATTCACAGTTTAATGACTTGTTAGATTACAACTTTATACTCATTTGTTTCTATCTTTTGCTTCCATTGTGCCATAACATTACCTGATTCAGTTCAGACAGGCAAACAACTGATAGGCTGTTTGAACACACTGCTGACCTGGCTGATGGATTATTCTTGCTGCCAAATAGTGAAGCAACAATTCATTACCTTCCACAGATAAACTGAAGCATGTGAGAAAGTCACAAGCATGAACTAATGTCTAAACTGTAGAATAAATATTCAACCACATGCAATTTTCACCATTTTGAAATCTGTAGAAATATCCTGGTCCATATGGGTCAGCAAATCAACATACAGATCATTTATCCAATGAGCTAGTGACTCTGCATTTTGTGGGTCAACCTTATCTAGTTAACTTTTTTTATTTTAAGTTTTGGTTGGTTTTACTTTCCAACCGGAAATGCAACCTGTATGAACATGGAATGCAACCTATTAGAAATGCAGTGTATACATTTGTTTTAACAATGCAAACTGTTACTATGCAGTGTATAATATGTGAATATATTCAATGTACAATTTAAAAACTTAGCTGCTAATATTATAGAGCCCATTTATATCATTAAAAAATAGTAAAAACATTTTTCTAATTTCCTCTGAAATCAGAGACCACTACATCCCATTATTGCTTGGCAGCATGGTTTAGGAAATCCTTGGAATATCTTAAAACAGCATTATTACTGCAAAACAACAAATTACATTCATATGGCACCTTTCACATCGAGGGAATGTCCCAAGGCATTTGGTAGTTAAGGATTTGGACTCAAACTGGAGGTTGGGAGAGTAGATAGGAGGGTGACTGAAGGCACGGTTGAAAAAGGTCGAGACGGGCCTTGAAGAAGGCAAGGGAGGGGGCAAGACATTGGGAATGTAGGATGAGTTCCAAAAAGTGGGGACAGAGGCTAAAGGACTGACCGCCGACGGTGGGGAGTTGGGGAAATTTGCTTTTAAAATTTGAGGTACGTTTGCATGTTAGCTGCGGGTGCAAGGGCTAATTCTAAAGAATCAGTGCCCTTCACATACTTGATGTGGGATAAATTTTAGGTAGAGGATAACTCAAGTTTACTGGTTCCTATTGAATTCTCGATTGTTGTCAAATATTTACCTGATTTAATGTAGAATTTGGTCATATCAATTGTGCAAGTCTGGGTTTTCATTTCTCACATTCATACCTCACATTCAAAGCTACTAAAACCCTGATTCATGCTTTCGTCACCTCCCGCCTCGATTACTCCAATGCACTCCTCTCCGGTCTCCCCCAGCTCCACCCTTCAGAAGGTCTAACTGATTCAAAACTCTGTTGCTGGTATCCTCACTCATACCAAACTCCACACTCTAACACCCTTGCCCTTACGAGGCCCGTCGCAGAATAGAACAATTTCAAGATCCTTAGTTACCAACAAATCACTTCATGCCCTAGCATCCTCCCTTTCTCTCCAACCTGCTCACACCCTCCTTTTCTACCTTCTCTACCTTCTGTGTGTCCCTCAACCCTCTGCTCCACCATTATTGGCTATGCTTTCAGTCATTACAGCCCAAACCTCTGGAACTCCCTGTCTCAATCCCTCCGCCTTGCCCCCTCTTGCCAGTCTTCAAATCACACCTGACGAGTTTCCTCTTCTACTGTGCCTATAGTTACCTCCCCTTTCTAATCAGTTTGGTGTCAAATTACGTCTTGAAAACTTTCCTGGTTGAAATGCATTGAATAAATTTATTGTTTCTTACTCAATCACTTTTGTGGCACATCCAATTGTTCTAACTTCAGAACTTAACCAACAATCGTCAAAAATCTAGATTAATGATTAGCTATTCCCTTATGTATTTTAGCTGAAAGTCATAGTGTGTGTGTGGGGTTGGGGAAGGGAGGAGAGAGAGATTATGTGTTAATCTGGCGCAGTGGTAGCACTGACTTCCGAGTTAGAAGGTTGTGGGTTCAAGCCCCACATCGTGACTTGGAATCACATAGACTAAATTGACTCCAATGCAGTGTTGGATGTGCTATACTTTGAATGCGATGTTAAACCAAGAGTCCATCTGCCTGTTCAGTTGAATATCCATGCCACTATTCGAAAGGAGAAGGGAGTTTCTCTTGGTGTCCTGGCCAATAGTTCCCCAATTAAATTGGTCATTCACTCCTTGGCTGTTTGTGTGACGCTGCTGTGTGCAACTGGCTGCCATGTTTCGCACACAAACTACTCAATCCATTTTACAGTATATCGTGTGAAGCGCTTTGAGGTGTCTCAAGGAGGTGATAAGGCACTATATGAAATACAAGTATTATTATTTTAGTATTTATATTTAGTTTCAAATAGGAAGCTGCAATTAAACTATGCAATGAAAGCATGTTACACACTAAGAACGGGGGGGGAGGGGGAGAAAGAGGACGAACATCTCCCCATAAACTTTTAGTTCATTAAAAGAAATGAAATACGTAGTTCAACAGAATTACCAGTGTCCTTTAGTACACACATTTTAATTGGTTAATAGTTTTTTTTCCCCCATTCTCTGACAGGTCTCCCAGGGATATCAAGTCACATAGGGATTGTACAGTACTAGCAAAGGTTATGCGGTCCAACTGGCAGGCTTCAAAGTTTAAAAAACCACACTATAATTCTCAATCAATAGATTATCATTCTTGAATTTACTGACAAAATCATCATAAACTCCACGAGTAGTCCATTTCACACATTTATCACTTTGTCTACGTTTACCACTTACTATATAGTCATTAAATCTAAACTGTATTCACCTTTCCTCTGAGTAGGATCAGTGTTTCATTGTTATAGATTTTTCAGCCAGGTTATACATGCAGTGTGTGATTGTTTGATTTTATCCAAAACACGAGAATCTTTTTCTGTTCTCAAACGGGCTACTGTGCACATAACTCAGATCAAGTTGTGAGAATGTACTATCTTAGAATTTGAGCTGGTAAAACAAGAATTCATATCATAGGGCTGATAATTTACAAAAAAAGTTAAAGCAAATTTACATTTCAAATTGAAAGTTTAAATTGAGCTACTTTTTTCAAATGTTGGTGGGTACATTAGAAGGTAATTTGAGATACTGAAAGACTAGGTTTACCTCACTTAGGAGAGGCAAGAGGTTCCATCACAGATAAGACTGGAATATTTAAATCACAAAATATTGCACCATTCCTGCAACTGGTTAGCGTTCACAGACAAAACTGTCATTACCTGGGCCAATAGAAGTGCGGCCAGACGTTTTTCACGGAATCCGCTACAAGTGCCCTCCTCCGCTACAAACCTGTACACACAATGCGTGCTGTTTGCTTGACGCTGCTACCTTGGGCGGAGCGGCTCTGGTCGTGGACGCACGGCATGGGTTGGGATGGTGGAAGTGGCGCGAGCGGGAAATCGGCTTTGGCCGACACCCGGCCTAAACTGAGCTACTGCGACCAATTCTTGATAAGTACTTTACTATTCAAACCAACATGTTTAGTATTCTAAACATATCTACATGTACAACAACAACATTACATTTGTATAGCGCCTTTCATGTCAGGAGGACTTCCTAAGGCGCTGGACAGTCAGTGTTTCAGACCCAAGCTGGGGGGGCTGTCGGGATTGCGGAGGGTGGAGGGCGGGGGGTGGGGTGAAGCAGGATGATCAAAAGCATGGTTGAAGAGGAGGGCCTAAGATGAGTCTTGAAGGAAGCAAGGGAGGGGGCGAGGAGGAGGGACTGCGGGATGGAGTTTCAGTGAGTGGGGCAGAGTGACTGAAGGCCCGCCCGCCAATGGTGGGGCGGGTGAGGCGAGGGAGATGAAGTAGGCCAGAGCCTACTGAGCGGAGGGAGCGGGCAGGACAGTAGGGGGTTGCAGAGGTAGGGAGAAGTAAGGCCATGGAGGGCTTTGAAGGTGAGGACCGGGATCTTAAACTGTATCCTCTGTGGGATGGGAAGCCAGTGGATTCGGGCAAGGATGGGGGTGATAGGGTCACAGAGCCTGGTGCGGGAGAAGACACCGCCTACAGAGTTCTGGATGATTTGCAACCTACAGAGGGAGGAGTTGGGGAGGCCGACCAGCAAGAAGAGTCCTGTAGCTCAGTGGTTAGAGCACTCGCTTTGCAAGCGAGAGACCTGAGTTCAATTCCAGGCAGAGGGTGAAACCTTGGGCAAGTTTCCTTACTCCACACACCTAATAATAATCCCTCCAAAACAAAAAACAATAATAAATTGGTCATTTTCAATCTACGACTGTTTGTGGGACATTGCTGTGCGCAATTGGCTGCCGCGTTCGCCCACAAATATACAGTCAATTCACTTTACAGTATATTCTGTGAAGCGCTTTGGGACGTCTAGAAGACGTGAAAAGCGCTATATCAAATGCAAGGATTATTATTATGAAGTTTGCATAGTCAAACCTCGGTGTTATGAATGTGTGTATGAAGATTTCGGTGGCCTGTGGTGTGAGGCAGTGGCAGAGCCGGGCGATGTTGCGGAAGTTGGAGAAGGCAGAGCGGGTTATGGCACGGATGTGGTGTAGAAAAGATAGTTGAGGGTCAAACGAGACGCCAAGGTTCCGGACTGGTTTAGTAAGATGGAGTGTGCATCCTTGGATAGTGATGCCATCAGTGCCTGAGGTGTGGAGGCGCTGTCGGGAACCAATCAGGAGAGCCTCAGTCTTGTTGACGTTCAACTGATGAAAGTTAGCTCTCATCCAGGACTTGATGTCTGACAGACATTCTGTCAGGACAGCAGTGGTCCTGGAGTCGAGGGTGGAGGCAGAGAGATAGAGTTGGGTGTCATCCGCATACATGTGGAAGTTGACCCCATGTCTGTGGATGATGTCACCAAGAGGGAGCATATAGATGTTGAAGAGGAGGGGACCAAGGACAGAGGAACGCCACACAAAATGGTGCGGGGACTGGAGGAGAAACCTTCTGTGGAGATGAAGTAGAAGCAGTGTAAGAGGTACGATCTGAACCATTCAAGGACAGAACTCAAAGTTGAGGTGAGGAGAGAGGCGGTGGATGAGAATAGAGTGGTTGATGGTGTTGAAGGCAGCAGAGAGGTCAAGGAGGATGAGGAGGCAGAGGGAGCCCTGGTCGCAGAGGGACAGAATGCCATTTGTCACTTTGACCAGGGCTGTTTTTATGCTGTGGGCGGCACCAAAACCCGATTTGGGGTGGTTCGTGAAGGGAGTGGCGGGAGTGGAAGGAGCAAAGCTGGAAAGCAATCACTTGTTCCAGGACCTTGGAGAGGAAAGGGAGGTTGGAGATGGGGTGTTAGTTCAAGAAATATATGCCTATAGTTTTAATCCGGGTTGTTTAAAAAAATGTGTCTCTTAATCCCACCGATCAACCCACTGCAATTTCCTGCAAAATGCAACAAATGTATCCGCAGCATCAGGCAAATGCCTCACAACTTTTGCAAGTATTTCCACACTTTTCTATTGGTCCAGGTCATTAAACACTTTACAGCAGATCCTGTGAAGCACATTGAGACATCCTGACTTGAAAGACCCATATCAAATGCAAGGATTATTATAGAGTGAAATTGGCTAAGGCCATGGAATATGGTCAATTGTCCATTCTCAATTACAAAACTTGTGTTTTTTTTAAAAATAGCAAAATAAGTGAGAGGCCTGGAAGTATTTCAGAAAGGAGTATTAGAAGAAAGCCAGAATGCATGCGAGCAACAAATGGGATTCAAACAAAAGGTATCAATCAGGGCAGTTCAACCAGATGTTCGTTAAGACTATGAAAATATTAAATATTGTCCAGGATCAATAGATGCCAACCAAATCCAGTCATCTGACAAACCTATAACGGATTTCTGCTTTCCATATATAGTACTTAGAAATTAAAATATTTACAGATGGGATACCCCATAGAATCAGGCAAAAGTGACAACAATGTACTATAAAAACAAATTAACTTGTATCTATCCAGTTCTCTTTTTATTCTCTAAGCATCTGTATAACCGGATATATAGATCCGAGGGGTGTATTGCAGCATGTTTCCCAGTGTCCCAGTAACCAATCACCAAAAGGACAAAGTCACTGTTATACGTATGACTTCGCTTTCAAACTGGAGATACTGCCAAAGCTTTCACTTAATGCTTTCCTGCTCAAAAAAACACTAGGATGTGAATGTTCAGGATGCTAACACACAGGGTTCCTGAAGTCTATTTTTTAACAAATGTTAGAAATTGTAGGCATTGATAAAAACTGCATCCTTTGTATCTTTCAGCAATTGCTGACTAGAACATGATTGAGTTTGGAAGAATTATTGAGCTGACTTTCAAAGGAAATTAGCATTCAATTAACCTAAACCATCTGTTTTAATGGCTCTCTAGGGAGACAAGTTTAGTTTCCTGCCAATATATTTTAGAAGCAGTCTTGTACTGGTTCCTAATCCCAGCATATATTTAGAAAGAATTAACCAAAAAACAAATCGAATGGCAAAGTGAATCAACATGTCCAGAGGTACAGAGGAGACAGTTGCTGAGCAAAAATTGTTTGGCTAAACCAACAGGTTGTGTAATTCAAGTCTGTTGGTAATGCCATGTGATTCAAAGAGTTTGATGAAACAATCTCAGCCTCACCATTATCTGGTATAAAGGCTGCTCTTTATTGACATCTAGTCTGCTGCATAGCACGTAAATACAATACAATGTATGCATTGCTCTTATACACACATTATGGTATGGAACCATTTCTGATCCAAACTACTGAATGCCTGGGATGGAATTTTCCCCAAACTGGTGCTAGACTCAACTGACCTGCTTTGCCTGCTTCCACCACTGAAAAGCTGGTTTCAACCCGGAACCCAGCTCTGTGTTGAGGTTTGTTTAGCACCAGTGAAGGGTCCCACATTCAAGTTGACAACATTCTGAGCTGAAATGAGTGAATCAAAGTTGAAGTCTAACCCATCTGCATCCATAAGTTCACTGCGGATGATCGATTCCACATCGCAGTCCAAACTCCCATTGAACATATCCAAATCCAGATCACTGGGGAATTTATCCTGGCCCATAGTGGGAAGAGTCATGCTTCCAGTATACAAGGAAGAGCCAGACAGTGAATCAGACAACCCTATTTGCATAGATTGATTGGCAGATGAGTGAAGCTGGTGCTTTGAGGAGGTTGTGTTATTTGAGTCTGTTGGTAATGCCAAGTGATTCAAAGAGTTTGACAAGGCACTATCACCACTAAGTTCAGAACTCTGAGGTGGAGACTGGCGACGTAGCAGATTATGGTTTGCCAGATTAGACTGGGCAGTGATGGATGACATCATTGGATCATTATGAAGCATCAGATTTCTATGTGAATTCTGTAGAGAGACTGCTGCACTCGCCTGAGACATCAGAGGATCAGTCTGAGTCATCATGACATCACTGTGGGTTAGTGAATCAGATGCAAGAAGATCTTGTAAAGTTTGGTTGCCAAAACGAGAAATTGAAGAAAAAGTAGCTGGTTTGTTTTCTTGAATGGTTTGCATGGGAGCTTGACGCAAGCCATTCAAAGCAGGCTGCCCGAATATAGAATTGCTGAAACTGCTGGATGGCGAACCTAAACCAGAACTCTTTGAACCATACGTAAAACTTGAGCTTCTTTGCATGAGACCTCCAGATGATGACTGCTGGGAAGGAGATGGAAGGTTAATATTGTCCAGGAAGTCTTCCATAAGATTATCTGCTAATCCGTCATTCAGATTCATGGTTCCAGCCATGTCAGTCAACCTGGGCAGTTCAACAGCGCTTGGTTTACTTACAGTTGGGGACATGTTAGATGGACTAGAGTACAACATGGGAGACAACGGAGCAGTGTCATCATCCTGAACATTGTCTAACTCAGGATTGGCTAAAATAGGAGACAACCGACCACTCAAAGTGCTGGCATTGGAGTTTGTACGAGAACGGAAGTCTGTCCATGCATCAAATTCATCGCTACTGCGGGATGTTGGGCTCCCGGGCCATTTTGTGTGTTGCAAAGGGCTTTCAGCAGTAGTTTCTTGTGCAACTTGCAAAGCAGCCTTTTTTTTGGCTGCCCTTCCCCTGCTTTTTGCATATTTGTTACTATTGTCCATAGAAACTGCACGTCTTCTTGGAGACTTGCCACCTTTTCCACCATCAGGGTTGATCATCCACCATGAACTTTTACCTGTACCTTCATTCTGTACTCTGACAAATCTACTGTGTAGTGAAAGGTTGTGCCGAATTGAATTCTGAAAGAAAAGAAAAAAACATTTATTCTATTTGAATACAATAAGATGGGAAGAAGGCCCTTTCACCCCATTTGATCTCATACTTCCAGAAATACCCATCCTAATATCCTCCCATTATAGCATCAAACAGTTTCTTAAACAAATCCAACATCCTAATTACTATATTTAAAATATAAATTGCGTATTCAAAAAAGTGACCTTAACAAATATCTAATGAAGCACATTAGTTGCACTAAGTCAGACAGATACTGACACACGACACGCACACACATCCACAGCTCACACCCAACCCATGCAGCAGTCTTCAAGTGAACCCAATAGTGATATAACTGCTGCAAATAGTCCTGGAGGGGTGCAGGCATCTGGATCAGGGATCCACAATCCTTCAAAAAAAAACTGTAATCTCTTACATCCCAGTGTTCAGGATTCATGCCCTCTGCCAATCTCTGCCTATACTTAACCATGTTATCTTTAACTGCCTTGCTAACCATGAGGCCTATGTCTAGGTGGGCCCTACAATCTTGAGACCCAGAGAGTGCGCAACTTGGCGTCTTGTTGGCGCATATGTGTGTGTTCGTGAATGTTCTTCGTAATACACACGCACACAATCCATTCTCCCAGGTTAATCATGTGAGGGAATCTAACCACTAGAGGCACTGTGCCTCAAACTGATTGGCCAGTCCATGTACCCGCTCTTGATAGCAACTACCCGTGACATCAGCCAGTCCTGCTGTATAGCATCCAACTTGCAGGCCAATATTACAACTCCTACATCTCCACCGGCAACAGCAGATCAAGTGCCATTCTTCCCATATCTAAACTGCAATGGGAGAGGAGGGATAGAGGAAAGAAAACAATCTCATTATAGTTGAGAATCTGTCAACACATACACACCTCCAGTAGGAGTCACTAGAGTTTTTTCATAACAGCTTTTTCCTGCCTTCTACTCCAAGCTTTTTAAAGTTAACTATTGAACCCCACTGCTTCACCAGTTGATATTTGGCACAGTTAATACCCTGTTCAATGCTAGCTCCACAGTAGCTCAGTTTTTATTCATACAAATTTCCACTGAGCCATCTAAAAATCTTCAATGCTATTTCATCTCAATATTTAAAACTTGAATTTTCTAGGTATACAGTCATTTATAAAATAAGATTATTTTTATATTTCAGAAGACGGTTACGCACACAATAAAATGTTAATTTCAAACCTGCTCCTAGAGCAGGTGTTATGCATAGATTAATAAACATCATATATTTAGAAATGTGAAATAATTGCCTTCTGAAAATCATTATAGACTTGAATTCAATCCGAATTCATCTCAATTCTTAATTATACAGAATTTATTAAGCTGAAAATAATATGGGCACCAATCCAAACAAACCATTATGCAAATGGTTTTATTTCTAATGCAGACAAGATGTCTAAATACAGTGGTTATAATATCATCCGCTACCACAGCATGCAGGTGGTTACACATAAAACCTCTTAAAGCATATGCAGGTACAAAAAAGAGAAAATAAACAAAAAAATCCCAATGTTTTTTCCTTAGAGCAATCTACATGCTAATTTAAAAGTAATGTTGGTAGGGTAAAGTATATACTGTATAGATTATAGTATGTGTGCTACCAATGGTAGTGGCAGAAAAAGGTAAATCTACAAGGCCAGTTATAGTTTTAAACACATTTGATTTTCAACAATTTGGCAAGGAAAGAATGCAAAATATCACTCTTTACACAAGATTGAAAACTCTGGATCAGTGCAGTGCATTGGAACATCAAGTAGATGGAGTAGAAGTGGAGAGGCCAAGAGAATCTGAGGAATTCCTCATCAAGAGGGATGTTCTTGTGCAAATCGTTTCAACAGCAAGACATGCAGGGCATGGGAGCAGGCTCTTGGGTATAATGGGAGCATGGTCTAGAGAAGAAAAAGGAAGGGAGGTAGAGACAAAAGTTGACAACAAACAAAACAATCTTGGTTTTGCACACACTAGGTAGCTTTAGCTACTCCTCCAAAAATATAACTAAACAATATTCACTACACATTGATCATAAATAGACCACTCAAAAGAGGATTTATCCCATTGATAGTTAATGAAAGGATGAAAAAAAAATGATTTAATGCTGTTATTCAAGGATTAAATTCTGACCAAAGGATTATGTATACTGTGTTAGAATAGTTTCAATGAGTGATCCATTAAACATTTACTCATTTGTATTCTGTGACATATTATTACTACTATTCTGTGACATCAACCGTAATCACCTTTATATCTGTAAAGCCACTACACTTCACAGAAACTCTGAAGAGCTTTGAAATGGTTGATGTTATAGGTGATGTATTAAATGGATCATCAATACAAGAAGGAATCTATTTCCAGTGAATAGAATTTTCCTTTACTCTTCTGTTCTCCGCCCCCCACTCTAAATTTTACATTCCTTTCTCAAAGATTCCTTCCCCAAATCTCACCCTGAAGATTTCTGGCACAATAAGTTGTTTTGGAGCAATTTTTTTCTTTGCATTTAAACATTTTGGTAATGCTAGAAAATTTGCACAATTTCCTCACTTTTTGTGTTCAGTGTTCAGTATCAAGCATTCTCAGGTTAGGTAAAGTATGAGTTAGGAGTGGAGTAAATTGTTTGCATTATAGTACTGTAATGGAAATGAGAATCTTAGAGCCACTGAAGACAATCCAGCGATTGCTAGGGTTGCCAGAGTGCCTGAGGCAGCAAGCTAGTCGGATTCGATTTAAGATTTGAACCTTGATCACAGAAAGTTTCCTTAAAATGTATACTGACCTATTTTGGCAATTTTCCCATTTTTAATTCAGGGTTGTAAAGCAGCAGGTTAAACAATTTGAAATATTCAACACTTTTAAAGTAAAACAGATATATGCATCAGCCTTGTTCAGTTGGAAGCACTTTTACCTTTAAATTAAAGGGTTGTGGGTTCATCAGGACTTGAACTCAGACTAAACTGACACTCCAATGCAGCGCTGGGGAAGTGTTGCATAGTCGGAGGTGACAACTCCAAAATAGGACATTAAACCTAGGTCCCATCTGCTCAGTCAGGTGGATGTTACAGATCTCATGGCACCAATCAAAGAGAAGGGAGTTTCTCCCAGTCTCATGGTCAACAACCCCCAAATACAATTGGTCATTTGTTTCATGCCTGTTTGTGGGACATCATAGTGTGCTATTGGACTGCCGCATTCACTTACAAATACAGACACAACACTTCACAGTAAACCCTGTGAAACACTTTGGGATATCCTCTCGACATGAAAAGCACAATACCAGATGCAAGGATCATTATAGATAAGGTCACCAAGTCACTCAATCCACTGGTGCATGTTACCAAACACAACAATCAAGGGAGGAGAACAGCCCAATCTAATTATGCCATGCTGGTAAATACTTACTAATAAACACTATTGCTACCTACAAGATATTTTGTATATTTAAGAGCCATTACACATATGCCCTTCCCTTAGATTTTCCTATTAGTCAATGATCTTTCAAAGCTTTATTTAGCAAGGTCCTGGGCAGAAGCCACTGAAAGATGAGAAATATAGTGTGCTCTCCCACTACACATAAATTCTGGCAATATTCTCACGTATATCCTCTCTCTTCTATTACAATTCTCTGGCATTATACATCCCAAGACAGATTTCACTTGACCAACAAACAATATTTTCCAACTTAAATTACAGAGCTGATATTTGGTTATCTGCAGAATATTACTTCCCCCACCCACCCCCAGGGTGCCAAGGGACTCCAGGTAGGCTTTCATCACTTCCACGCTCGAGTACGCTCGTCAGATTCCCTAACTCTTCCTACACAAGCTGCAGGCTATCCAGAACTCTAGCCATTACTCTCTCTTCTAACAGGCTCCACAAATCTATCATTCCCTTCCTTGCTCTACTCCATTGGCTCCCTATTGTGCAACAGAATGAATTCAAGATCCTCATTCTCATCTTTAAATCCTTCCACAGCCTCACCCCACCCCACTCTACCTAAATAACTTACCATACAATCCTACCTGGTGATTCCCTTCAGCGAAACCCTGCCTGTGTCATGTCCCCCATCCCAACTGCCCTACCATTGGCAGGTGAGTTCTCAGCCATTCTACCCCTGCTATCTCCAACGCCTGAAGTCCCTCCATTCCCTGCCTACAATCAAAAGCCTGCCTCAAAACTCACCTCTGACCATGCTTTCAGTCATCTTCACCCTCTTCTGCTTCCACCCCTTGTGTGCCCAGCCAGCAATATGAAGTGCTTTGAGACATCCTCCCGACGTGAAGTGTGCTATATAAATGTAAATTGTATTGCAATAGATGAAATTTCAATTCAAGTCTAAACCCTAATGCCCTGTATATGGGTATTCCAACTTGTCAAGGATGAATCGGTCAATGTCAAATGATAGAGAACACTGGAACCTGAGAGAACATGCAATTTTAGTGCACAATGGGGATACAAAGTTGATTCCTATTTAAAGACCATTGAATATGGAGTTTCACTTTACAGTATATTCTGTGAAGCATTTTGAGACATCTCAAAGACGTGATATAAGGTGCTATATCAAATTCAAGGATTACTATTATTATCTAACTTCCAGAGACCTTATAAATTGCACTAGTCATAAAAATGGCTACCTACTATTGGTCAGAATATTCAGTAAGTGCGGCACACATCAAAATACACTACGTTGGGTTGTTTGGGGATTGAACACCAAACTCTGGAGCAGCACAGAAACTTCCAATTAACAGGAAGACTGATCTTAGTTTCAACAAATTTAATTGATGAAGAAACAGCAGCCTTTAAACTGTTGAGCCCTGTTAAATTGCTGCACGGGAACAATCTACTGACAAGATTCTCTAACAAGTTAACTGTCAAATAAGGAAGTACATAACCACAGTGATTGATATGCACATCATGAATCATTTTGTGGCAGACAAAGCCAAAAGGAAACATCTTTACTGGTAATTAGTTTGCTTAACTTGAGACCTCAAAATTCTAATGTTGTGGGCATATTGCCACATGGAAGTGGGCATTTTTAGGTCATCCTGGACAAACTCCCAGGGACAAAGATTTGTAATATCACATCTATTTGAACATTTATTTTTTTGGCAATTAACAAGCATAGACTCAAAAATATATTGTAAGCCTCCCAACAAACCAGTCTGAATTGACTTTTAAGTTTCCCTAGAACTTCCTTCATAGCTCTCAAAAATACAGAAAGCTGTCCAGTTTGGCAGCTACAAAGTTGAGAGAGGAACTCTTTGTAATCTGAGCTGATTTCCATTATGTGGGGGAATCTGGATTTAATAAAAGTTAGCCCCTTTCCACCACCTCCTTGAACTGAGTATGTGCAACAGAGCTCTTCCAATTGGCCATGAACTGCTGGTAGCTTTACATTGGAGAAGTTAGTACATTCAAGAGTTGTAGCTATATGTATAAAATAATTAGGATAGCAACTCCAGAGGGGCAGGCTTTTTTGACCCTCCCTACCAACCAATGTCCAGTCATCTAAGGACCAATCTGAAATCTGTTGGTATTGAACTGGTTTAAATGATGGACTGGGCATCTTACTAACCACTGACAAGACGCATTGTTGAACACTGTGCTCCTCCTCCTCCACCCACACACAATTGGCAGGTACGTTGTTAGCCACCTGCCACCAACGCTCCAGAATGCTTGTGAGATCCTTCAGCCTCATCCCCTCCTTGCTTTGAAAACCCATCTTAACATTCATCTCTGCCTACACCTTCTGCTACTTCCCCCTATCCCTCCTATCTCAGGTTCCCACTCAGTTTTTGTAAAGCACCTCTCTCTACAAGAGATGCTACAGCTGCAAGTTGCTGTTGAAACCCAGTGCTTGAACATTCTGACGTTTAACGACCCCACATGAATGGTACTATATAAATGCAAGTTATTAAAAGGAAATGGTATTCTCTCAAGTTTGGGGACTTTTGAGATGCATTTTGTTCCTTAAATACATTTCCTGGGCAGGTTTACTAAAAGTCCACACAGAAGTTGACAAAACAAAACTTTCCTTAAAAAACTATTCCAGAATCTCGCCATTAAAAATACAAAAAAACTGGCAAAATTGATGTTTTTCCTGCAATGTGTACATTGGGTTTAGATGACAGATTCTTGAGTTTGTATTTGAAAGACAATTTTTGCTCTGTCTACTTGGGACTAGTCCAAAGTGTTCTTTACATTGCAGGAACAGACCTTAAATGCAGACACCAGCTGCAAATGCTTCAACTGGAAACAGAAGCTTTTTTGTCTGAACAAAACATATGGCATTAATTTATCATTTTGCAATTTAACAAGGAAACTACTCACTGTAAAAATAAAGCAAGTTGTGTAACACAAAGCTTTATAGTTTCTGGGAATTATAAACTTTTCCAAAACAAGAATGCTGCTGGGATTAGTTATAGTAGTAGCAATAATAGTCATGTGTTTTTTCTGGAGTATTTCAAAATGCAAGCGTTTTTTAAACTCATCCATTATTATATTTTTAAAATCAAAGATATTTTGTGTATTTTCAGTGAAGAGACAATGCTCTAATAAACATCTCCATTAGATTAGACTCACCAGTCTCTCTATACTATAGATTTTGTTCTGTTCACTGAGTTAAGGGTAATAACCCAGCTGTTAATACTCTGCAATCTGTGAATGAAAGGACAGATGTAACTGACATACTAGCTCTTGAATGGAATGCAATTTGGAAAAAAGACTTTTACTACCAACTTGACATAGATTTCACTTGTGTGAAAGATTGAATTATTGTAATGCAACAGGTGTACATTCTACATTTGGGTCAGCCTTGTTCAAAATGATTTACTACATTGTAACAAAATACATTTTTGAATCAAGGGGAAACAACTGTTTTCATACAACCTACCTACATACTGATACTATAGTACATGAGCACCGATCTACATTTTACACAAGAGCA